TTATATATATATAATTTATATATAAGCTAGGTAGATGTATAGATGTGCACACACACATTTTAAATGTTGTCGTATGGAAAATAAAGCTTAAAATTATGTTTGTAAGGGGTACATATGAGTGTCACCATGTTGAAATCCAAACTTTTTAACTGGAACGCCGTTACCTCGGGTCTGACATCAAACCCGACTTCCTAGGTAACTGGGACGCAGCATTATTCCACATGAACACAGTCATCGTTTTTTTTGTAAACAGTCGCCCAATGTATGATTGATGAGAATCTAATGATTCATAAAATAGTATTTGCATTAAATGACCTGATGTATTTGAGACTCTAGACATTTTAAGACGGCATATAACTCTCAAACTAGCTAAAAAGTACAGATTCAACAAATCTGGATGCATAGCCAGATATAACATGCTTAACCTTTCCTAAGCCATTCCTATCCCACTGAGTTATCATAATTACCATAATTAGGTATCATAATTTGTTAAGTTTTGCTTATATATTTTGGGGAAACTATTACTTTTTCATGATTGTAGCAGAAAAGCAGGAGAGGTTGTGCTCTTCTTTCTCATGCAGCTGAACTAATCATTTTTGGACTTTTTTTTTTTTCTTTGGCCAGAGATTTCAGAGGAAGCACGAGAGAGAGGAACCTTCGACAGTCAGAATCATCTAGTGCTGCATAGCAGTGAGACGCCACAGATGCTGCCAGGTTAGTTGCTCAAGGCAGATAAAAAAAAAAATTTAAAAAAACCAAAACAAACTTTGATACTTAGAAGATTGCTTAATCCCATCCAGAAACTTCAGAAAAGCCACAGTTTATTCGCAGTCAATGTTTGGTGCAAAGTTTGCTTTACATTTATACTCAGGTAAATGTGAGCGCATCTGTATGAGAGAGAGGCAAAGAACACAAGAAAAGAAGAGCACTGCCACAAAAGACTGGTGCAAACTTTTTTTCCTGTGACGAACCCTTCTTCTGATCACTTGGCGCATCTTTAAAATATGTTTCCCAAAGAAAACAAAAGGTAAATGCTGCTTTGAGTCCCGTGTTTCGTGCGTGGAGGGCTGTAGGATCACTGCAAAAGATCTGAAACGCAGTTTGAAACTTTAAATAAAAATACAGTTGGTTCAGAATTTTGCTTTTTATGCCTTGGAGATGTTGGCATCCACATCTACCATGTTCTCTGCTCAAACATGCACAGTTACAGGCTGCCATCTATCTGTCAGATTGAAAATTACAGCTTGCTTATGTGAACATTTATCAGTTATTATGACTTCAGAGAAAAAAGTGGAGCCAATGAAACATTACCCTGAAGCTATTAACATGCGGCTGATCTCCCAAAGTTTGGTCTTGGAGAGGCGGAGGATGAGCTGTGATGTGGTGTGAGAAGAGACTCCCCGCAGTGAGCTTTCAGTGTCCAGCAGTGGACATACAGGGTCTTCTGTTGAACCCCGATTTGGTGCCATTACCCCCCATCGCTCCTCTCTGTCCCCAACAGAGTTCTCCCATTCATTTGCTTATTTGGATTCCGCTACGGGAGACCTCCCACGAGCCTGGGTGAACTGTTACACTTCACGACAAGACTATTAATTAATCAGAGCAGCTGTATCTTTGTTTTGCACTATATACGCTAAACGTTTTCTCTTTTTGTGGGGGGATGTGGGGGGCACACTAACGTAAAACCAATGTTTATAGACAGATGTCCAAGAAAGTAATAACACGAGATTATTTTTGCTTTATAATTTAAAGTATGGAATTGCGTAGTGCCTCTTTTGTTTGAATTCATACCACTGTAACCATGTGGCAAGACCTCTCTGGGTTTCATATTACTGTAATACTGGACAGATTGTAACTAATTTTTATTTTTTTTTATCATTATTGTACAAAATCTGTTCTTGTTATTCTAAAACTTAAAAACAGGTGATTTAATTTAAGACAAAAACTTAGTGGACAAACCACAATAAAGGAATCCCTTGGGGGTTTTCCTGGACATCATGTGAGTTACCAATCTAACTTCCTCCACCTGCAGAGTTTCTTTCATCTGAACTGAGTCATTCTGGCACTTCTCCCACCTTTGCCTTTGTTTCTGAACTGCAGGGGTCCTCACTTCCCAGACCATCACATCCGAGTATTTCCTGTGTCGTACAGTTCCATACAGAAACACAGAGAACGCAATTTGTCTCATGATTTGTCTTCTCCCTCCGTACTTCTTTTCACATCAGTAATAACCTCTGGGGAGGTACGTGTTGATTTAAATATGAAGAAGTTTCATGTTATTTAACAAAGGAAAAGAAAACCTATTAGTGACATTTTTTTTTTTTTGCTTTTTAATAATATACAGCAGGCTGTTATGGTTACTTTCATCAGAAAGGACTTGAATTATACGAATCATCCATCTTTGTCACACTGTATTGTTGCTGGCATGAAAGTAAACATAAAAGACTTATGATATAAAAATATGACTGATTATCGTAGCATGTGTCGTGGTCTCGTAGGGGTAATAAAAAATCATTTCATAGCTGGTGTGAACTGTTTTTCAACTGAATCTCAGCATTCCTCTGCTTGTCATGGAGCTTGGTAAACAACTTAATTGACTGCAAAAATGTTTTGGAACCTGATGCTATAAAATCACTCAAATCTTTCAAAGGGCCACAGTGAAAATAAATCTTCACTACAGGAATGAATGCGTCTCCAAATACTATAAATATGGGTTTAAAAATGTCTGTTTTTAAATTTATTTTAAAATAAATATCCATAAAAGATACAACTCTTACTATGTTCTAACAGCTATACATTGCATACTGTAAGAAATGGGTTCAATTAATGTAGAAATAAAATTACATTTGGGAAAATATTTCCTCTGCCTCAATTTATTTTTGCAATAACAATATTCCATCCATCCATTTAACTTCTAAACCCACTAATCCTTGCAGCAGCTCAGGGAATTATATTATGCATTTGTATTATTATTATTATTATTATTTTAGTCTTTAAAATACCAAAATGTGTACATAGAAATTGTGTATGTCTCATTTACTCTCCTCTAATGATATGCCATTTCCCCCCTTTTCTGTGCTCTAAAACAGATGTATTAGACGTATTTATATATTAAACCCCTGAATGCATTTTGACATGAAAAAAGGGAAGTTACAAATAATCCCCACCAGAGGGCGCTGTTACGCTGTGCCTTGAAACGTTACAGTATCCAATTCTCTTTCTTCTCCGCTTTAATTACAAACGATAACAAAAACAGTAATTTAGCGAAGGGGTTATTTTATAAATAACTTTTAAAGAGCCAGCTCAGACTGTGTTTAATTTTTACAAGTGTTTTTTTTGTTTTGTTTTGTTCTTTTTTGTATTTCCGCATTATAGGTGGGACTATTTGTGGACCAGCCCTGTTGCGTTACGTTTGGGGAAGTTGCTCAATATTGGAAAGGCACATTTCCCTTCACTGTAAGGGCCAAATATTGATGTGCTGCTTATCTGGTTATAGCAGCGGTGTCTCCGCACTTCCTTTACCTTTGGATTTTGTCAACATGACGGTCAGATAAAATCAAATTATCAGATATCACCAGAAACTCTTTGTCGGGATGAGTAGTTCTTTGACTTCCGCTTCTTACATTCGCAACATCAGTTACGGTCTACGCCGCCAGCTGTCCGACTTTCTGGACCCTCAGGACAGGTGGAAGGATGTGATCGTGTCCATACGGAAGCCGAGTGGGGAGCCGAGGTACTCCCAGCTTCACGTCAGGTACGTCAGCTCTCGTTACTGTTCGTTCCGTGTTCAAAATGGGATATAAAACACTGCCGCTGTGTGTTTTTAGGAGGTTTGAAGGTCTTGTGGCGCAGGGGAAGAGTCCCACCGTGGAGCTGCTGAATGACTGGGGAACCACCAACTGCACAGTGGGAGAATTGGTGGATATTTTGAAGAGCCGCAATTTGTTGGCTGCTGCCCGTCTCCTGCTACCTTGTAATGAGTTATTATTATTGTAAATGTCATAATTTTGAACTTCATTTGAAAGTTTTACCACAAACCCCTACATATTGTTCCGTAAATTACATTATATCAAAGCTTTCGGTGCAGAATTGGGTAACAAATCATACAGTATTTTCTTTCTGGGTAGTTACAAAATAATAATAACAATAATAATTTAACAGTGACTGTTTACACAGCACCATATTTATCTTCTTGAACACAGGGGAAGAATATTCATCGGCAGAGACACACCTGCTTCCTTTACCACTACCTCCTGACAGAGACCCTCCAACCAGGCCACTGGGTGAGACCCAGAGTCAGCCTCCACCCGCCGGATCAGCACCGGAGACACAAGTACTGAGCGAAAACAGTCAAACAGGACACACAGGTGTGTGCTCAATGTTATTCCCAAACACTTACTTGTAAACGCATAACACCTGCATGCCTTGCAGAAGTATTTATTCAGTCTGAACTTCTGTTTTTTTTTTTTATTATTATAACTTTTTGGGATAAGACAAACTTGACAAAGTGGGATGAGAAGGATATGTCTTTTGCAAATGTTTTTACTAATATAAAACTAAAAAGGATTGTATGCATTTTTATACCTGTTTTCACCTTACCTTCCAGGAAATCCAATGTACATCGATACCTTCGGAAATCATCCAATTAGTACATAAAGTCCAGCTATGAGTAATTGAATTTCTGTACAGCTGTTTCCATGAAAGCCTCAGAGGTGTGTTAGAGAATATTAGAGGACAAAAAGGCATAATTAAAACCAAGAAATACACCACAAAGATCAGGGAGCGAGTCACCCACAAATTTAAAGCAGGGTTCAGTGTTGCAGAAACAACACCCAAAGCTTTGGACGTTTCACTGTTCAGCTCAACATGTGCAACCCTACAAGCTGTGAACCTAAAAGAAGGGTATTTTTCAGAGAACAACCCAAGGCATCAATGGTAAATCTGGACTAGTTGCAGAGATTTAAAGAATCAGTTGACAACTGCAAAAATCTGTTGTTTTAGAAAAGCAAGATGAAGAAAACAACATTTTTGGAAAAAAAAAATGCAATAAGAAATCTCATTAGCAGTTTAGCACAGGCTAATGTAGGAGACACATCAAACAAGAAAGTGACCAGGTCAGATTGAGTCCAATGGTTGAACGTTTTGGTCTACATGCGAGACGCTAACACTGAGTAAAACATGGCGGTGGCAGTATGGTGGTGTGGGGGCGCTGTCTTTTAACTGGTTGCTTTAATTCCATTTCATAATCACCGCCTACTTCTGTGTTGGTCTGTCACATAATATGTGACAATGAAGTATATTATAGTTTGTTGTTGTGAGACAAAAATGTAAGCTCCAAAGGTGTGAATATTTTCACAAGGCACTATAGCATCAGACTACAGTTTGAGCGACTTTTTTTGTTATCTTTGTGCTTATTTTAGTTAATGAAATTTGACATTAAAAACAATTAAATATTGCAATAACAGAAACGACACTTTCAACATTCTGTCATTTTTACTTCGTATTACACAAAGTGAAGCTAAATCAAAGCATCTCTTATCTTGATGGAAATTTGAACTTTGTGTATTTTGTCTTTTGTTTTTAAACTGTTGGTTTTTGTTGCCAGACGTAACCAGGAACTTCTACTGAAGTACTTTGAATATTTCCCCACTTAAATATTTCGTCTGTAGTTATCCAACACAACTATAACTAAACCTGTTTTGTAGTTTATGTAACGTAACAAAGAAACAAAACACTCGAAACTTTGGCCGTGCAACTTTAAACCGTTGTACGTTTTTTTACATTTGTGACCAGCAGGTGGCAGCAGTGACTCCTTTGACCCACTTTCTGTGCATCCCTTGTCAGGCGTCTCCAGTTTTATGTACAGTGAGCTGAGGAAGATCACGGGCAACTTTGACGACCGGTCCGTCTCAAGCGGCGGCAGCCGACTCGGAGAGGGGGGCTTCGGCACCGTGTACAAAGGCTTCTTGAACAACAGAGCTGTGGCGGTGAAAAAACTAAACCCGGTAAGTGAGAGTGTCCACGTAGAAGAGGGCACACTGTTTCACATGCTTGAACATATGATGTCCCTTCTAGATAGATGACATGCCTCTGGACAAGCTGCAAGATCAGTTTAACCAAGAGATTCAGACTCTGAAAGTGTGAGTTTGTGTCCGTCGGCGTAAAATGTGACGCTTTCTGTTCTCCTCCGTCTACGTAAGAAAGTTCTGTTTTAATAAAAATGTTTTCCTAACAGGTTGAAACACGAGAACTTGGTTGACATGGTTGGATTCTCATGCGACGAGCAGCAGATGTGTATAGTGTACGCCTTCATGGCCAACGGATCTTTGCTGGATCGACTCGCTTGCTTGGTAAAAAAAAAAAAAAAACGTCCGCTGCATACAGAAAAGCTGATCTGGCCTCCATGCAGAGGATTTAGCTTTTGTTTTCGTTTACATAGGACGGTAGTCCTCCACTTTCCTGGCGACAGAGGTGCTTGATCGCAGAAGGGACTGCTAGAGGTTTGGAGTACCTCCATAGCAACCATCACGTACACAGAGATGTTAAAAGGTGCGACGGCTGCAGTCTTTGTGTAATATTCATCTCTTCTGATACCTGTTTTCGTTTTTTTTTTTTTTAATAAAAAATAGTTGCACAATCTTCAAATTCTGAGACTGAAGATCTACAGTGCTTTAAACTATTTGTGCTCATTTTGTCAAATGACAGAAGATTTGTAAAATGTAATACATAGATCATGTCACCTTCTTCCCACTTCACAATTATGCACTACATTGTCTTGGTCTGCCACATAAAATCCTGATGAAACACATTATAGCAGAAAACGTCCAATAGCATCAGTACTTTGCCGATCCACTGCATCTTCCCCTCAACTCGCCACAATAAACGTCACAAATCTGTTCCGTCTTTCTGCAACTTGAGCGAAAACAAAGATGTTTTTTTTTCCCCCCTTTGCTTGTTGTGACTCCTATTTGTTTCACCCTCTTAGTGCAAACATCCTGCTGGATGAGAACTTTGTGGCGAAAATCTCCGACTTTGGGCTGACAAGAGCGTCGGCCAAGCACACGTCTACGACGATGAGGACGGACAGGATCGTGGGGACCCGTGCGTACATGGCCGCTGAGGCTCTGAGGGGAGAGATCACCCCAAAATCTGACGTGTTCAGCTTCGGAGTGGTACGCTTCGGACACACACACACACATGCACAAAGGAAATACGGCTTCATTTTACCGCTTACTTTTAAGCTTGACCGAAGGTTGTTGAGTTGGCAAACTAAGCACTATTTCTTTTCTCTTTTTTTTCTTTCTTTTTTGGAAACTTCAAAGATCTTTAGTTTAGCTTGAATAATCAAGACCAGATTCTTTTCACTCAGTATTTAGTGGTGATATTTAGTCACATTAATGGCGTGCGTTAAAAAGGCATGCAAGACATTTATGAGAGTCGTATGCCAGGTGACGCAGTTGATTCAGAGTTTCATGAACTCCTCTGTCTGGCACAGAGTTCTTGAGTCAAACGTGAGGCCGTCGGTCCAGCAGTGGCAAGACAACGATCCCGAGCACAGCAGCAGCAAATCCATAACAGAGTGACTGAAAAGGCAAAAACTATCATGGTGTTACAGTTTCCCAATCAAAGTCTGAAGCTCAGCCCAAATGGATTGTGGAACAATCTACAAACCCGCAAATCAACTACTAACTACATCTGTGACTTTTTTTTTTTTGTTTGTTTGTTTAATTACCAGAAACAAAGCGGACCCTCTTGTTGTGTGTCCAGACATTATTGTTAGATCCGAGTCATTTTGAAGCCTGGTAAAGATCAGATCTTTTTTTTTTCATGCCTTGAAAGCAAAGAACTCCAAAAAAAGTTGCGACTCACTCTTATTCCAGTGGTACTGTGCTGGTGGTCTTATTGTGTTTTTCCTTGCATCTGTCTGAAATTACCTTTCCCCTCCCTTGTTATTATAATATTTACAGATTCTCTCTGCACAGGTTCATATGCAGGGTTTACTAAATCCTCTCCACTGGTACCTCAGGGCTCTTTCTGTTTGTAATGAAAAAAAAAAAAAAAAGCCTACGAGGCGGGTTGTTTACGTCCATAAGCAGCTTTCCCAGGTTAGCGAATCCAATTCCATTTAAAATGGATGTGCAGCAGCATTAAAATGCAGTTTCCTGCTGGAGAAGTTCCTCCTTTTTCATTCTGAGGGATGCCAGTGGCTGTATTGTTCACCATCTTTTTTCTTTTTTTTAAATCTGAACAGCTGTGGGAGTGGGGCTGTTGTGGTTGAAGATGCGGGGCGCATGGAGAGGAAATAAGGGGCTGCCTGTTGCCCAGAGCCGTGTAATTAACCTCATGGCTCTACTGTCTACAGGTGCTGTTAGAAATATTGTCTGGACTTCCGCCAGCTGATGAAAACAAGGAGCCCCAGTTCCTGGTAAGCTACGCACGAGGCTTTTACTTTAGCGGGAAACAAGCTGCTATCAGTGATTAAAAAAAAATAAATAAAAAATCTCAGTCCGCCTTTCCCGTTTGCCCCATCTTAGATGGATATCAGGGACGACATCGATGATGAAGACGAAGATCTGACCCTGGAGCAGTTTTTGGACAGGAAGATGACAGACTGGGAGCTGAGCCAGGTGGAGAGCATCTACTGCTTGGCTTCCAACTGCTTGGACGACAGGAAAAACAGGCGGCCGTTCATCAAACAGGTACAGTCAGTAGAGGCGCAACGATTTATGGGCGCCAGTTTCCGTACTTTTGGGGGACCGGCCGATACTTACACGTGAAGCCGATATTATAAACCGATCTTATCTAGCTCAGCAGAGGTCTAAAAATCACCCACTGTCCTTTTCTGTCGATGCATCCCAGCTAGTAGCATGATTAAAAGTATGTATTTCTTATAAGGTCCAGTGGTTTACAGTGCCTTCCTTGAGTCTTCCTTCCTCTGAACGTTTCAGTTTCTACTTTGCACAAAGCACTTCCCTGAAGCATGATGCTCCCAACTCCGTGTTCCCCTGTGGTCATGTTGTTTTTGACCTGAAACCATTCGCCGTCGCCCTCGCTGTACGTTTAGGGTCGTCATTCTTCAGGAAGGTGAACCCTGACTGCAGTATTCAGACTTTTACAGACTCTTTACACGAGATGAAGAGCTACGAATCTCTACATCTCTGGAGGAGAGGCAGAGAGTAAATTAAGCAGTGGGACTTGGTTTACTAGTTTGGTGGGCATTTGGTTCCTCTGGATTTACTTTAGGAGTATCAGAGTGAATAGAGATTGATACGAATCCATTTCACGATTTTCATATTTGTTTTTGTTTTGAATTTTGAAAACTTTATAATTTCCTCCTTAAGGTGTGTTGTTTTGTTGGATAAAGTATCAAAATCCAGTAAAGGTCATGACTACAATGTGTAAAGAAAGGTCTGCATACTTTTGTGAGGCTTTGAATATGAAACGCAAAACATTTCTGCTGCTTTAGCTGTTTGCAGCTTTTTAAAGTAAAATTCTGTTTTGTTTTGTTTTTTTGGGTTTTTTTGCAGGTTGTTTCAGAGATTCACAGCGTCGTCAAAAGCATCTCGTTGGAATCGTAGGCATGGAGGGAAACGAGAGGCTCACATTAACGAGTCAGAGTCTGTTCCAAACTAAAGACTGACAAGTTTTCTGCCTTTTGACTTTAAAAAGTTCCTTATTGACTGTAAGAAAGAGATCTAGCATTAAAACATCTTTCCCTACTTGATTTATATTCACGAAAATTTGAAGAGGAGCCCCAACAGGACATATGAGCTCCGCTACACAGATATTTAGCCATTAGCAGGCATAAGCCCATCTTACAGCATTAGCTCCAGTCAGAGGCATCGCCAGATTTGTTGCAAGACTGACTGCTACTGGAGATCCTTCCCATCCACAGCATCTCATCCATGACTTCTTAAAGATACTTGGAGGATATGAGTTGGAAGAAAACTGAGAACATTTTAATAAATTTTTTTTAAATTTCCAGGCTAAATTTTTGTGTTATAAAGTAAAAAGTCGTTTTATTTTTGAAGAAATAAAAAAAGGACCAAAATTGTCTGATTTAAATATTTTATTTTTCATCTTTAAAAGAAAAATTTGTAAGAAAACAAAGAACAAACATTATTCGTTTTCTCTAATGACAATGAATATAAAGGGATTTTTTTTTTCCCCTTCACATGAGGTGAACTAAGTAGTTTGCCAAATATTAATCAGTAGACCAGTGGATGAGGCAATGTTTCCGTCAAGGTAGTATTCCCTTTTCTATCCGATAAGAGCTTGGCATTCCTTCCTCTGTGGGAACCAGGTTTTTATTCGCTTCCTCTCGGTGAAATGCGAGATGTACAAGATAGATGGAATATTTCTGGAAGCCCGGTCTTTTCCACTGAAATCCACACCGACAATCACCAAAAACGGACCGCTTCTTAATCATAGAGCATCACACAGCTACAATATGTACATTTACAGCACTTGCATAGAAAAATAAGTTTCTCAGCAGATGATTTCTTTTTTTTTTTTTCTTCCCCCATGTAAACCACAGTTATATCAAAAAGAAGGAATTTTGTCTTTATAAAAATGCACTGTTAAAACGAATGGAGTCGACAACGTGGGAATAATTCGGATCTTTTCAGCTTTGGAGCACCTTGTTGTGCAAACAGTAGGAGACGAACACACACAAAAAAAAACCCCAAACGATTCTTGACACAGACTTAAGGAATGATATTTAGGAATTAGAATACGAACTCAAAAGAATTTTTAAGAAAAAAAAAAACATTTCTTTCTATATTTGCGCGAGTTCACATTAGTCGTGCTTGAAAGTTTTTTTTTGTTTTGTTTTTTTTTTTCCACTAAGTGTTAGAGCTGGCAACGAAGCAAATACCTCAACTTTTATTTGGGCCCCTTGAGTTACAGTTGAGCTGCTTGTGAGTGTGTTAAGATGCGCGTTTCCATTTGGCAAGCTACAAATGGAACGTCTGAAGGGTGTCATTGCTCAGTTCTCCTTGGCGTGCATAGTTGGGTAACATGGTGAGAAAAAATTGAGGTTCTTGGGAAAAGAAAACAGAAACATAACAAAAAAAAAAAGTCAAATACAATTTTTTCGTCGCCCATCACAGGGATGTTCCACTGTGGAACACGTTATGGGGTGGAGGATTTAGGGTGTGTGGGGTGGAGGTGTGTTTTAATCCTCCTCCTCTCCCTCGCCGGGTGGCCGGGTGATTCGGCGACCTCCCCTCTTACCGGCTGGGCCTTTGGGCTTGGCAAAGCGCTCCTTATAGGCGTGCTGCTTGGGATGCACCTCGGCGTACATGAACTCGCCTGTTAGTTCGGTCCCGTCTTCAATTTCCAACTGTGAAAGGAAAAAAATAAACAATACCTGGCAAGTCAGTGTCAGTCTATAAATAAGGTGGAGTTGCCATTTCAAGCTGTTTAGAATCCAACAAAGGAGTCATTTAGCTCTCATGCTGATTTGTTACAAGTTTTTATTTCAATCAATTTTCATGGTAATGGCTCATTTTCTGAGGCAGTGAATTTAGAACTTATTTATTTTTAGCTGCGAGCCATAATTAAAGAAATGAATGCTTGAAATAGTCAGATCCTTCTGATAAATCTGTACGGAGTTTTACATTTCGGACTGAATTATTAAAAGTAAATTTACATTTCAATTATGATTTAATCAGCTACACCGATTGCATTGGTTAATTTAAAAAATATCCAACTTCAACCATAACTGCATTAATTAATTAATGCAGTTATATAAAACTGTATTAATAGTTTTCATATTTATTTCACTAATAAAGGATCAAACTATAAAAAAAAAGAAAACCATTAATTGATTTATGTAGAATTTATGATACCGAGACAAACTTAATCTCTTACTTTATGACGACCATTTTCAGGTTTTCTATGTAGTCTGAAAAAATCTGAGATTTGGTCAAATAATTGTCCAGGTCTGGATAAGTTTGGGCAAGAATAGAGCATAGAAAAATAGATTTTCAGAACTATTTCTCTGTTCTACTGGCTAAATAAATAAAACCTTTCAGCATGTTCTTCCATCCCATCCATTATTCATCTGACATCCTTCCATCTTGTGTAGTTTATCCATATTTAAAGCTCATCAACTGTAGCACTATCTGCCATAAATTCATACTTTTGCTCTTTCTAAATAAGCTAAAAGAAAAAAAGACAGTTGAAAATGTGAATTTATAGAAAAGTGTGGAAGCTCAACTCTAATAATGCATAGGACCTCTGAATCAAGCACAGAGTAGCTCAAGTGTGAATCACGACGTCTTCATCTCTCACCTTTTTCTCGATCTCAATCTGCAGTTTGGTTTCCACCATGTCAATCAGGTTATTTTTGCAGCTGGAATACAGCATCCTCTCTCGGATGCTACACTTGTACCCTGGCATAGAATAAATGAAGACTGCAAAAGAGAAAAAGGACAACAAGAGATTAGGGCCAAAAAAGATGCCCATCGGAACGTCGGCAACGGCGACGTGTAAAGAACAGCGAACCTGTAGACTCCAAGTAGTCGCCTTCATGGGAATGTTTGTACAGGAAGAAGTGGTAACGTGGAGAATCTTTGGGGACTCTCTTTGGCAGGTCTTTCAACTCGGTTGGCTCAGTGCTGCACAAGCGAATCATTTCCTTTTCAACATCTATTTCCTGTTGACAGAGGAAGGTGAAAGGGGTTATAGTTGGTGTAAGAAAAAGTGACAGTAACCAAAAGAAAACCAGGACTGAGGCGAAGCTAGTTGGACTGGATGTTCACCAGTTTGGTTGAGTTGGAGGAAGGAAGGATTCACCGACTGCAGAATCTCATTTTGACACCTCTCTGCTTTGAGGTCGTCTCCGATGACGACAAGTCTCATTTTTCCAGCAAGGGAGAACCCATCCCAGCTCATCACACAAAGTGTTTTTAATGAACAGAACTCCAAAAGTTTGGATTTTCCTTCCAGACGTGCAACGTTTTTAAGGGGAAATAATTTTTCAAAGGGTAAAAGATTTTATGCAAAACAAAATATGAGCAAACACAATTTCCTAAACCGGAGCTCTGTTGTCAAGGTTACTGGAAAAACAAACAAGAAATAGGTGTCTTCAGACTGCTGTGTGTCTACAGTCCATTTCCTCATCGCCCTCTTCCTCTTTTCATCACACAACTTTAATATTGAGAGAATCAACATCTGTAACCTGCTCTCTGTTCTGGGTGGCCTATTCAGGGGGGCAGAATGCACACACACACGCACACACACACAAAACATGATCAGATGTCATTTGCATTCAAACTGGTTTTCTACTGCTTATTTACATGCCCAGTGAGTTTATTCCTGAATGCCAAATGAAATTAAATGTTTTTGCAGGAGCATCTGGGGGGCAGAGTGTGTGTGTGTGTGTGTGTGTTTGTGTAACCAAACATGTTTACTTACATGTTTGAGTAGAAAAAAGGGGCTTGCCCTGGGATAGGTTCACAAACTAACTGTGGTGGGTCAAAAATGAAAGAAAACTTTTAAACGGACTCAAGGTGGAAAGTTCTCACAGCTTGCTCACGTCACGAACCAATTAAACTGAATTTTAAAACCTAAGGAGTGTCAATTAAAGACCACTTATGAAACCTTTTCTTTGGAGTGAAACACTTACCCATGTTATGGTCAGGAGAATTGTTTTAATGGAATAATAAAAAGAAAAAATAAAATCTAAAACCTATCCGTTTGCCTCTGAAGATCGCAGAATAACAGGCTTCAATTATTCCTTTGTTCTTTGGACTGATCTAATCAGAGCCATGGGTACACTGAATTTTAATGAGCAATGAAACAAAGGCTTTTTTATCAAAAAAAAAAAAAAAGACTGATTCATTGTGTTTGCAAAAGCAGCTCCTGACCAGCAATGCTTCTTTCTGTTTATAAGGTAACAAAAGTGTGAGGTATTTAAGGAGCAAGTTCACTGTTGTAACACTCCCTGTGCCTTGCAGAAATGTTCTTCACCGTTGAACTCTCATCTTCTTATCTAAGTATTTGTGAGGGTTTTTCTGAGAGCAGAACCATAACAAGCAATAATTGTGAAGTAAAAGGAACATGAGAAATACAACCGTTGTAAGAGACGGAAAAACAAACTGCTTCACGGAGACCCAGGGACAGACAGTCAGGGATAGAGTTGTTGAGTAGTTTAAAGCAGGATGAGGCAAAAAAATAATAATAATCAAAACCCCAAGCTTTTACCATTTCTTAGCGCACTGGTTAATTTCTTGTTTGAAAATAAAAACAGCTTGGTACAACTGCTAACCCACCAAGATAGCGAAGCATCTGCCTTATATTAAAGAAGAGAACAACGAACATTTTTAGCCAACATGCCAAATATGACAGTAAATTAAAACACAATATACCGCACAGTGAAACATGGTGGTGGCAGCGTCATGCTGTTGAGGTCATGGTAAAATGAATGAAGGCAAAAATGGAAGAAAACTTGTTGAGTGCAACGAGGGGCGGATTCTCTTTTCATCAGGACATCGACTCTTAAACAGCAACATCTGCTGTGGAATTAGATAATATAATAAATGGTTCAGATTTAAAGACAGTCGTGTGCTGGAGTGGCCTAGTCAAAGTTCAGAGAGTCTGTGGCTAAGCATGTAGCAATAAGCAATTAATCAGTTAATTTCATGGTAAATTAAAAATTAGAAGGAGAATTTTCATTCTTATGAATCATATTTTTTGAAAGGGTAACTTTATTCACACAGACCTCACAATCCATTTTATTTACGGTTTTGGTTGTTTTTCGATATTTAAAATATCTTCCAGTTCCAGTGTAAAGTGTTGTTTGCTAAATTAATTTGTCTGAGAGACAAAAAGAAATGATAACCACTATCAATACCTGAAAATGGCCTCAAAACGATGTTATCGTTCATCAAAGGAATTACTGGGATAATTTATCTTCCTGCAATATTAATTATCGTGTCTGCGATAACTGTGGCAAACCTGAAGGTCCGTGTCCACAGACGCTCACCGTCCAACAACAACAACAATCGCATGACAAAAATGTGAAAGGGAGGAATGACCACTTTAGCAGGGCATTGCTTTCTGTTGGGAACTCACCAGTTGCACATAGTTGATTCTCTTTTCCTTAAAATGTGCCAGTGCGTCAGCAGCATCTTTGTGAATGGGGAAGGCCACTCCCTGCAGAGTCTGCTGCTTGGTGTCCACGCTGATGTCCGTCTGGACCTGAACACAAGAGCTGCTGGTTATTAGGCTTCACCCTCTATTTGATTTCTAAGTCATTGTTACAACAAACACTTTAAAACTGAACAATCTCATTAGATGGGTTTAAAAAAAACAAACGCACAGTAAACTGCTGAGCCGTCCTGCTTAAAAGCTGAGGCACTCTGATAACAGATGAGGAGTCTGTATTGGAAGTGGCAAGGCGCCTTTAGCAAATCAAACAGAGAACTTGAAAATGCAGAAAGGATTACACTGATAGATTGCGTCTATTTTTAGAGGTCTGATCCTATAAATTGGAAAGCCTCGCAGACATGACTGAGCACAAATGCAGCTACTTCACATTCCAAACACGACTGTGTGTTTCTTTTACCCATCTGCCTGGTAAAAAGTCAAGGCAAGATGTTAAATATTCTTAGAGCTTTTGCATCTGGATGGTACAGACTAAAGACATTTCATCTTCCTTCGACAGCTGGCCAAACGGGACCAGCAGCAAAAACCTCACTTCCCATTTGCGTTGCAGTTTTAAATTGACAGTGCTCTGAAGAGAGGCTACGCCACTAAAAACAGTTCCATATATGGTAAGGAAGAGAGCTGTTGTTTATGCAACAGGCTGGGAGAGCAGCAATTAGAAAATGCTGTTAACTCAGGAAAAATGACTCCAAGTCAAAAAACTTGACCTAAACTTCCCCCTGTAGACGCGGTGAAGGTTCAAGTCTGCGAGGTAAGTAGAGGCAATTACATCAGCAGTATCACGTTACCGCATTCATCTTTCTTATCACAACAAAAGGCAAAGCACAACGACAGAGCTCACTTGTGTCCCAGAGTGAAATCACTCTCCACTGCAGAGCTTGGACATTTGCATACTTGAGGTCAGATTTAGTTTTGAACTCTCAACGACATCTTCAGCCACTTTTTTTTATTTTTTGGATTCGACTAAACAAGCCC